ATTTATTTATTTTTTTCTTTGGTTACTTGTGGTTTTGGTATCATATCTATGAAACCAATGCCAAATCCAATGTTATACCTCAAATTGATTGAGTTCCCTTCAACCATGACAGTGAACCTTCTGATCCTCAATCTGCCCCACACTCAAAAGTCAATGTGGGCTGGGGAATGGGAGGAGTCTGGTGGAGGGGAGGAGTAGGCAAGAACCCACCAAGCATAAATGCTTCTCAGATGATTTTAGCCTTTGGTCAATTTCCAGAGCACTGAAATGGTTGCTTTGTCATTTCTGTCCAGTTTTATAGCCGTGTGGGGTGCCATAGTCAAGCCCTGTTTCTATTATCCATTTTTTAAAAACATTGCTTTCAAGTTTTTTACTTCAAGTTTTTTACGTCTTGTCTCACGATACTTCTAGTTTACTAATTTTCTCTCCAGCTTTTTGGCTATGTTTGATCTGTGTTTAATTTATTTCAGGAGTGCTGTTTTCACCTACAGTAGTTTAGCTTCCTCTCTCTCTCTCTCTCTCTCTCTCTCTCTCTCTCTGTCTCTCTGTTCCTTTTCTTTTCTTCCCCTCCTCACATCTGTCTTTTTATTCCTGACAGCCCTTGGGTGCAGCCCATCCTTTATTTCTTCAAATATGTTGTACAGGGCTGTGCTGTATTTTCCACCTGGCATTCCAGGTGTGTTGTGTGTTGTGTCTGCTGACTCTGCTCTCACTGGCCTGTCTTCTCATATTTTATGATCGTCGTGTGGGAGCGCGTGACTTGATCTCGGTGTGTGGGAGTCTTGCACGCCTTGGTTGGGGAAGACTTCTTTCAGAGGGACTGCCTTCTACTTCTGGCCCCAATTTCTCCCTTTCTGTGCCCCTCTCCTACCTCTTTTAAGTCCAACAGTGCCCCCAAATTGTATCCTAAGCAGGATATCATAGCAATTATATCTAGTGGGAGAGCCCCACAGGGCACCTCATCAGTCATTCCACAGGAAGCAGAAGTCAAAGTTACCATTTTAATGGAAGGAGACTTGACTTGGGATAGTGAGCACACCGCATGATATACAGATGATGTATTATAGCATTGGACCCCTGAAACCTATATGACATTATTAACCAATGTCACCCCGATTTCTAAAAAAACACATTTTTAAATATATATATATTTCAGAGAGGAAGGGAGAGGGAGAGAGAGAGAGAAACATCAATGATGAGAGAGAATCATCAATTGGCTGCCTCCTGCATGCCCCATACTGGGGATCAAGCCCGAAACCCAGGCATATGCCCTTGATCGGAATTGAACCCTTCAGTCCACAGGCCAATGCTCTGTCCACTGAGCCAAACCAGCCAGGGCTAAAAAAACACATTTTTACGAGCTTTGACTGTATGCCAAACACTCTTCTAGTACTTCATATGGGTCAAGTCCTTCAAACTTCACAAAACCCTACAAGATGTGTACTGTGGTCACCCTGTTTTATGGATGAGGACATTGGGCCACAGGTTAACTTACCTACCCAAGTTTTCTCATAACTGGCAAGTCATGGAGCAAGAATTCAAGGACCCATGCTCTTGCCTATTGCAGCATGGCATCTGGGGATTTGTGCATGTGTCTGTGTGATAAAGCATGCGTGGGTAAAATTCCAGGTGGCTGCCTGTGTGTCCGTGGATGTCAATACCAATGTGTGTGACGGCCTTCAGGTGTCCACGCTGATGTCACCTTAGTGTGGCCTGTTCTGACCACCCATTTAAAATTATTCTTATCCTTCCTCAATCACATGTCCTACTCTCTAACACACTGCATGTTTTACTTCTTTTGTTTATGTCTGCTTCCCAATAGAACATGAGCTCACTCAAGCTGCTGGGGGAAGAACACGCCAGAGGCAGGGTGAGTACAGCCAAAGCCCAGGTTGGAGGCCATTGCAATAGTCCAGGTGAAGATGGTGGTGACTTGATCAGGAGTGCTCAGTGGCCGAGGTAGTGAAAAGGGGTGGATGTAGGACGTGTTTTAAAGATAGAGCAGACGGGTTGGATGTGTGCAGCATAAAGGTATAAAAGTGGTCAAGAATCACTCCTCACTTTGTGGTATGAACAAGTGGGCGATTGGGTGAGATGGCGAACCCTGGGAAAGGAGCAGATTCAGGGAACAGGGAGGTTGGGAAGCAAGAGACAGGTTTTGAACATGTTGCGTGTGTGATGCCCGTTAGCTCTCCTAGTGCAAATAATGGGAGGACAGTCGGATCTGAGTGTGGAGCTCAGGGAAGAGGGAGGAACTAGAAGTGGAAATGTTGGAGTCCTTGGCTTATTGCTGGTAATTAAGCTCGTGAGACTGGATGGGATTTCTTAGCGAGTAAATGAGATGGAAAGACAAAGAAGTTTCAGGGAGGGTGAACTGGAAGGTCTTGCCATGGTCCAGGACAGAAATGAAGTCTGAACCAGGCATGACACTAAGCAGGGACAGGTCTTAGAAAAGCATGGATTGAAGAACTGGCAGTAGCCACCTCCCCCACGAAGCCTTCCCTGAGCGCTCTTTGGGGTGCTCCCACAGTTCCCTATGCCCCTGTGGCATGAAGGCGTCAGCTTCCCCGGAGCTCCCAAGAGGCGGAGTCACACGATTCACCTCCTGTCCCCAGGGCCAGGGGCTCCCAGGTGGATGGATAAGTGAGAACAAATGCTGCACTTACCTCTTCCCTCCCAGCTCCTGTTAAGGAATCAAAAAAGATGATGCCCAAAACAACCCTCCCTACAGTCAAGAAGCTGATGACAGCCCACACTGGGCCCAGCAAAGCCAAGTAGGAGCAGGGTGGGGCTGGGGAAGGATGAGGGTGCGTAGGAAATGCTGTGCCTTTCTGATGGGGATATGTTGCAGGCCACCTGGTGGAGACGGTCAGAAGCGCCCCTCCCGAGACTCCGGTAAGCGTGCTGCCTCCCTCAGTTGGGTGAGGACTGGGTGACCGATGGGGAGAGACTCAGCGTCCTACTAGGCCTGGGCCCCTGACATTCTGCTCTCATAGGCTCCAGCGGCAGCCTCTTGGCTGGGGGTCCGGGCCACACTGGCAGAAAGCGATCCAGAACCCAGGCTACCCGGCAGCGACCTGCAAACACTCAGGTCAGAGGCCCGCAACATGGCAGCGTGGGAGACTGGGCAGTCTGCTTCCCAGGGGTATGGCGTGTGCGGGTGAAGGATCCCTGGCCGAGGAGAGCCCTCAGCTGAGACCTCGTCTCCATCACCACAGGAGGAAGAGCGGAGAAGCCGAGCAAAGGCCCCTCCTGCGAATAAAACCGCTACTCCGGGCAAGACACTCACCCCAAAGAAGACCCTGCCTCCGCGCAAGGCCCGCACTCCAGAAGGGGTCTTTTCTGCGGATGAGGCCCCTGCTCTAGGTGTCGAACTTGCAGATGAAGCCCTTTACTCAAAGATGGCCTCTTCTGGGGACGAGGCTGCCACCCTAGAAAAGGCCTTGACCTTCGATCAGATGCTCTCTGAAGAGACCTCTTCCGGGGACAACACTCAGGTGGATCCCTCTCCGGAAGCAGCCCCGCCCAAGTCCAAGAGCATGTCTTCCTCGGTCCATAAGCCAGAGGAACACCCCCTTGATAAGAGGGACAGCTCTGACCTCCAATTGGAGGCTACGCCAGGGTCCCTTGAGAATGTGGTCCAACTCTGGCCAGATCCCACCGCCTTCCAGGAGAAGACTCCTGTGAAAGATGAAACGACCCCCAAAGAGGAGGCAGCCCACAAAAACGTAGCCCCTGCTCAAAAGAATCCACCTCCCATCAAGCCGACTCCAGGCCCTCAAGGAACTCCCACCCTTCATTCACTGGTCCCACAAAATCCCACCGTCAGCAAAAATGACAAAGAGGAGGTGAGGAAGCTACAGGAGGAGGTGGAGTCTTTAAGGAAGGCCCTGGAGCTGATGGGGGAGCAGCTGGAGTAAGTCGGGGAGGGTTAGGAGGGGGGAGGGTTAGGAGGGGGTGGGAAGGCGAAGGGCAGGGCTGACCCACCCTTCCCCTCATTCTCTTGTCTGCAGAAGTAAGCTAATGGACATCTGGGAGGAACTGAAGAGGGAGAGGGAGAGGCGCCGGTTGCTGGAGGTGGGTGCTGTGCGAATCCCTGAATCCCGGCAGGAAGGGGGCTGGTGGCGGGCCCTCCCCTGACGCCGTCTCCCCACCAGGTTCAGATGAACCTGAGGATCAAGGAGTCCCTGACCCCAAGCTCCAGCCCCACGCAGCAGCAGCAGACGCAGACGCAGTAAGGTGGAGCCTGGAGGGAAGGCTGCTTCCGCGCACTGACGTCCTTGCACACAACGTTGGGAAAGCCAAGAAAGTAAACTTTGCTGTGTACGCTCACCGCGCGGCCTGGTCCTTGCGGGGGCGGGGCCTTCGCGGCGGGCGGGGCTGGTGCTCTGCATTCCTGGCAGTCTCTTCCTGGCACATCTGGCCAACATGTGGCTCTCATTACTGTTCCCAAGGCTTGTGCACGGCTATTTTTACCCACCGGATGGCGGGGGGAGGGGGGGGGTGGGCGTCTCCTTCGGACGCCAGCAAGCAGGAGGGGCCCAGGCCCAGGCGGGGTCAGGCTTTGCCTGCGGCCGGATTCCGGAATCCAGCTGTGCGCCAGCAACCCTGCTTTCCAACCCCAGACTCCTCCCAGTTGGCCCCACTGTCCCTTCAGGACTCACAGAAACGCGCCTCAGCGCAGGCACACGTGGTTACACTGGGGCACCTTGGCGTCAAGGTCGGGCTCCCGAGGCCTGGCGTTGGGTGATGGCAGTGATGCATGAACCCTGGGCATTTGTCGGGACAGGGGTGACGTGTGCCCAGGAGCGTGCGAGTAAGGAGTGCATTTGAGTAAGGAATTCGAGTGGTACTTGTTCTGTGTGAGACAAGTGTGCTGAGGACGGAGTGATGGCGAGGTCAGCCTGTAAAGGAGTCCAGTGGCTCTCAGCCCTGGGGCCCCTGCAGGACAGGCGCCTGCGGAACGGAACGTAGGAGGCCGGGGTAACAGAGACACCGAGTCACTAAGAATGCAGCTTTCATTGGTCACTTCACCTCCGGATCGTTCCCGGAGCGAGGGTGGGGACCCTGGGTCCTGCCCTCCCCCCAGGGTCTTCAGGCAGGACTGGGGAAGGGCGCCGCCCAGAGGGTGGGGATCGCGCCCAATAGCACCGTGGGAGCCGCGGGGGCGGGGCCGACAGCACCGCGGGCAGGGCCGTAGGAAGGTCCTGCGTCAGCGACGAGCTCGTGTGCACGTCCAGGGCCCAGAGCGCCCGGCCGTGGAGCGAGGCCCGGTCAGTAATAGTGCATGCGGCCCAGCGTGCCCGTGGCCGTGGGGCTGGGCCCCAGCGTGCCCGTGCCCAGCAGGTCCGGCTGCCCGGTGCGCCAGATCTCCCGCAGGATCCGTTCCCGCTCCTCCAAGCGCTGCGCGCGCTCCAGCTCCTCTGCCGACGTGAAGACGTTAATGCTCACGGTCCCATCGGGCTCCGCGGACAGCTCCGGGCTGGGCAGCGTGTCGTCGGGGCCCAGCCGCGTCACGGTGTCCTCCTCGTCTTCCTCGTCGTCGTCGTCCTCTAGGGCGCCACGCGGGTCCCGGCGCCGCGCGAGGAGCCGCGGCCGCGGGCGGGGCGCGCAGGAGATGGTGATGACGAGCAGGCACAGGGTGAGCAGCAGCCCGAAGCAGACGCCCAGCACGAAGTAGAGGCCAAAGCTCTCCGGGTTAGCTGGGGGTCAGAGGGCGGGAGTCATGGAGGGGCCCCGGCGGGGGGGAGTCACTCCGTCTCGAAAGGACTCCAGGTTTTCCGTTTGGGGGGCGAGGACAGTGCCTCCTATTGGAAGGGCATTAGGTAGCTGCCATCCGGCAGCGGGCAGCGAGGGTTGGGGTAACTGGCTGTAAGTGACTTGCTGGGGGGGGGGGGGGGATTATAGTGAAAAGGGTGGGGGGAAGGGGCAGGGGGAGGTGCGCGCCGCGGGTGAGCGCCCTTCACCGCGGATGTGTGCGTAGCTCGCCAGGCTATTTGCTGAGCATTTCCATGTCCCTCTCGGTGGCATCCATGCTTGCTCCGGGGGCAGCGCCCTGGGCCGCC